CTATACCACTCTTGGGCATATACCCAAGGAATGCTCAATCATACCACAAGAGCACTTGCTCAGCTATGTTCATATCAGCATTGTTTGTAATAGCCAGAACCTGGAAACAATCTAGATGCCCTTCAACTGAAGAATGTATAGATAAAATGTGGTACATATACACAATGGAATACTACTCAGTGGAGAAAAACAATGACATCATGAGGTTTGCGGGCAAATGGATGGATCTAGAAAAAATCATCCTGAGTGAGGTAACCCAGACTCAGAAAGACAAACATGGTATGTACTCAATCATAGAAAGATACTAGATGTGGAACAAGAATGACTGGACTGCTACTCACATCACCAGGGAGGCTAGCTGGAAAACAGCTCCCCAAGAAACACAAGGGGATCACCCAATGATGGAGAAATGGATGAGATCTACATGAACAGCCTGGACATGAGTGGGGGTAATGAAGGGCGAGGGTCGAGGAAAAGAGAGCTTGGGGGAGAGGGAGATCCCAGCTGGATCAAGAACTGAGAGGGAGAACAAGGAATAGGACACAATGGTAAATGAAGACCACATGAGAATAGGAAGAAGCAAAGTGCTAGAGAGGCCCACAGAAATCCACAAAGATACCCCCACAATAGATTGCTGGCAATGGTCGAGAGACACCCTGAACTAACCTACTCTGGTGATGGGATGGCCAAACACCTACTCTGGTGATGGGATGGCCAAACACCCTAATTGTCATGCTAGAAACCCCATCCAATGACTGAGGGATCTGGATGCAGAGATCCATGGCTAGGCCCTGGGTGGAGCTCCGGGAGTCCAATTAGTGAGAAAGAGGAGGGTTTATATGAGCGAGAATTGTTGAGACCAAGGTTGGATAAAACACAGGGACAAATAGCCAAACGAATGGAAACACATGAACTATGAACCAATGGCTGAGGGGCCCCCAACTGGATCAGGCCCTCTGAATGGGTGAGACAGTTAATTGGCTTGATCTGTTTGGGAGGCATCGAGGCAATGGGACCGGGTCCTGTGCTCATGGCATGAGTTGGCTGTTTGAAACCTGGGGCTTATGCAGGGTTGCTTGGCTCGGCCTGGGAGGAGGGGACTGGACCTGCCTGGACTGAGTCTACCAGGTTGATCTCAGTCCTCAGGAGGAGGACTTTGCCCTGGAGGAGGTGGGAATGGGGGGATGGGCTGGGGGAAGGGGAGGGGGGCAGAAAGGGCGAGAACAAGGGAATCCGTGGCTGATATGTAGAACTGAATTTTATTGTAAAATAAAATTATATATATATATATATATATATATATATATATATATATATATATATTCCAACAGGATAAAAATGCATACTGGTTATGATAAAAATTTATATAAACTGGAGTACATATTAAAACAATAAGAATATAATACAGAAAACCTATAAGCCATGGCATAGTCATATACTATCAATATCAGACACTATATACTATACATAATTATATTGGTATAGTTCACAACACTTAGCCCTGTAGGTTTGTTGAAATCAACATCATTAACACATGGTGACAAATTGTCTTATGATACTAAAACATCTATGATGTCACTGAGCAAGTATTTTTCAGCTCCATTATAATTTTATGGGACCAATATACATAAGATCACTGACCAAAATATTGTAATGATAATGATTACTATGTAATGTTCTAATTTTCTTGCCTCTGTCTCCCAGGTGCTAGAGTTACAAAAGTGAATCATTGTTCTATATTTTAGTATATGATTAAATACAGTAGTTTATTTTTTATATAATAATCTGATATAAAGGTTAGTCTTCCTTCAAAGCATCTCAACAAATAATAAAAATTGTGTTAGTTTGAAAAAAAATTTCCTTATTGATATTAAGAAATGTAGAAATTATACAAGTTCTTTTCTGGTTATTCTTTAAATATAGAATATGAGTAGAAATTTTATATTGTTCCCATAGGAGTTAGAAAGATGAAATGACTGCTCGGGAACATAGGGGCATGATGCGCTACACTCTTCAAAATAATGGCAGTTTTTGCACAGGCTTAATA